CAGAAAAGGAAGACAAAGAACCCAATTAAAAAATGGGCAGGGGAACTAAATAGACACCTCTCTAAACAGGACATACAAATGGCTGAGAGACATATGAAGATATGCTCAACATCACTAATCATCAGAGAGATGCAAATTAAAACAACAATGAGATTTCACCTCACACTTGTCAGAATGGCCGCCATCAACAAATCATCAAACAAGTGTTGGAGAGGGTGTGGAGAAAAAGAGACTCTAGTACACTGCTGGTGGGAATGCAGACTGGTGCAGCCACTATGGAAAACACTATGGTGTTACCTCAAAAAATTAAAAATTGAACTTCCATTTGACTCAGTGATCCACTTCTAGGAATATACACTAAGAAGCCTGAAACACCAATCAGAAAGAATATATGTACCCCCATGTTTATAGCAGCACTATTTACCATAGATAAGATCTGGAAATAGCCCCAATGTCCATCAGTAGATGAATGGATAAAGAAGCTGTGGTACATATACACAATGGAGTGCTATGCAGCTGTAAGAAAGAAAGATCTCTTATTCTTTGAGACAACATGGTGGGACCTGGAAAGTGTCATCCTAAGCAAAACAAGCCAAACAGAAAGACAAGTATTATATGATCTCAATTATTTTTGGAAAATAATGAACATAACAGTCTGAGAAATGAGGTAGTCCCAGAGACGTGGAAGTGGGGTACAGACTGACAACCCCGAGAAGACGGGGTAGTGGGGGAGAGATAAACCACAGAACTTATATGCATGTATGCATGAACAATGGACATGGACAACAAAGCTGGGGACAGGTTGGGGAAGGAGGGGGCGGAAATCAGTGTGTGTGTTGGGGGGGGGGAGAAACATCTGCAACAAAAATAAATTAATTAATTTGAATAAAAAAGAGGAACTGCAGGGGACTCCAATAGCCTCAGCCTCCCTCAGCCTCAATTCCAGCTGGGGTTTATAGCCATAAGTTATGGGAATCTCTCTTCCTGGCACTGGAACCCTGAGCTGGGTGCCTGGTGTGAGATGGTGACCCCTCCCTCCTCAGGGAGGACCTTCACAGCCTCAATATGCCTCCTGATATTTATCTACCACACTTGGATGTGGGTCCAGCCTGTCCACACCTCCACCCCTCCTACCAGTCTCAATGTGGCTTTTTCTTTAATTCCGTAGTTGTAGGACTTCCATTTAGCTGGATTTCAGGTGGTTCTGAATGATAGTTGTTCTGTAGTTTAATTGTAATTTTGATGTGATTGTGGGGGGAGGTGAGTACCGCATTTACCTATGCCTCCATCTTGAAGGGAACTCATCCTCCATGAGTATTTTTGTGACCATTATTTTTAACTCTTTATCAGGTAAATCACATATCCTCATTTTATTAAGGCCTGTGTCTGGAGTTTTATCTTGTTCTTTCATTTGGAATATATTTCTTTGTTTCTTTATTTTCCTTGACTCTGTATTAGTTTGTGCACTTTAGATAAATCAGCCTCCCCTCCTCTCTCTCTCCTCTTTGAAAGAGTGGTCTCATATAAATGAAACTTGTTTAGCTTGGCCTTAGCTCTTGGTTGTCTCTCAAAACTCTGTAATGGTCCAATCTGCCTTCTTTGTTCTTAGTGGATCCCAATATTTGAGGGTGCATAAAGACATGTCAGTGTTCCAATAGGGGTGATCTCATTCAGCACTTAGGTGCAGGCTGATTCAAAGTCAGATCTTCAAACATCAACTTTTAAAGTATTCATTACCTCTTTCATAGAAAGACTTTTAGATTAGTGTTTTTGTCTGTTCCCTCTGTGCTGATTCCTGGGAAGATAGCTGATTAAGAAGTATTTCATTGTTGTCTACAGTCCTGGAACTCAAGTCCCATTGACCACTAGGGATAGGCCATCAAGGGGTGCATCTCTTGGGTGGCAGTGACAAAAGCTAATGTGCCAGATGCATGTACATGTTCCAGGTAGACATCAGCATTTTGGAGTGGGTCAGAGGGAAAACCCATTTATGGCACCCACTGACCTCCCTAGTTTCTAGGGAAGATAGTAGTCTGTCCTTAGATGTGTGGTCAATTAGAAGACTGACCCTCAGTCAGCACCTTTTAAAGTATGCAAATAGACCTCTTTCAGGGAAAAACTGGGGATGGGCATTTCTCCCTTCTGCCTCTGCATGGGCCCTGGAGGAGTGGCTGGTTAAATACTGTTTCTTTGTTTGCCACAGTCCTGTGTACCCCATGAATAAAAGCCCCACTGACCATCAGAGCCAGGCAATCAACAGGTATATCATCCGAATGGCAGCCACAAAAGCCAGGGCACCAGATGTATACACAAGTTTCTCTCAGGAAATACAGCAACTTGGAATAGGGTAGAGGCAAAACATGGAGATGGCTCCTGTTGATCTCTCCAGTCTCTGGGGAGAATCATAGTTGGCCCCTAGATGTGTACTAAATTAGGAGCCTGATCCTCAACTCAGGTTGCAGCTTTTAAGATATACAAATAAGCTTCTTTCAGGGAAAGACTAGAAGGTGGGTCTTACTGTCTGCTGCCCCTGTGCTGAGCCCTAGGGGGATAGCCATGTGAGTCCTTAAAGAGATCAGTAAGAACCATCTCTTTTTTTGCTATAGTCTTGTGGGTCTCATGGACTCAAGTCCTGTTGGTTTTCAGAGGTAGGTGTTTTGGGTACCCATCCCTCAACTGGTAGTCTTAAAAGTAAAAGTTTGGGTGATTTATATAGAGTCCAAATCTTTCACTTCTCATGGAGATGGTTGGAGTTCTGAGTTTCCTTTCAATTAAATGTTGCTGTGTCAGGGGTGGAGTCTATGAAAGTGTCTCAGCCTTTCCTACTTGTTTTGATGTGGGCTTTTCTCATTCATCTGATGTGTAGGAGGTGTTAAGCTAGTTCCTTGATTCTTTCAGTGTAGCTGTAGATTTGATGTATCTGTGTGAGGAGGTGAGTTCAGGAGCCTCCCATGTCACTAATTTGAACCAGAACATGATAATTATTGTTTTAATTCTTTACTTGTGACATTAGTCTATTTTATTTATTTATTAAATTTATTCATTTATTTATTTTGTTGTTGTTGTTTTTCTTTTGGTACGTGCCCCTAGTGGGAACTGAACTCGGGACTCTCTGGTCCGCAGGTCAATGCTCCAACCGCTGAGCCAAACCGGCCAGGGCAAATTTTTTTTATTTATTAATTTGTCTTTGTTACAAATGTTTCTCATTTTTCCCCCATTGTCACTCTCCTCCCCTTCTCCTCAACCCCATCCCCAGCTTTGCTGTCTATGTTCATTGGTCATGCATACATGCATGTAAGTTCTGTGGTTTATCTCTTCCCCTACAAACCCCCCCCCTCCTCTGAGGCTTGTCAGCCTGTATCCCACCTCCATGTCTCTGGGTTAATTTTGTTCAGCAGTTTGTTTAGTTCATTATATTTCACAAATAAGTGAGATCATGTGGTATTTGTCTTTCTCTGTTTGGTTTGTTTCACTTAGCATAATACCCTCCAGGTCCTTCCATGCCATCTCAAATGATAAGAGATCTTTCTTTCTTACAGCTGCATAGTATTCCATTGTGTACATGTACCACAGCTTTTTTATTCAGTCTTCTGCTGACGGACAGTTGGGTTGTTTCAAGATCTTAGCTATTGTAAATAGTGCTGCTATGAATATGGGGGTACATATATTCTTCCTGATTGGTGTTTCAGGTTTCTTAGGGTATATTCCTAGAAGTGGAATCACTGGGTCAAATGGCAGTTCAATTTTTAACTTTTTGAGGTAACACCATAGTGTTTTCCACAGTGGCTGAACCAGTCTGCATTCCCACCAGCAGTGTACTAGAGTCCCCTTTTCTCCACACCCTCACCAACACTTGTTGTTTGATGATTTGTTGATGGAGGCCATTCTGACAGGTGTGAGGTGATACCTCATTGTTGTTTTAATTTGCATCTCTCTGATGATTAGTGATGTTGAGCGTTTGTTCATAGTGACATTAGTCTATTTTAGTTTGCACTTTTTATATGATTTTTTTTGTTTTTTGCAACCAGGTATTTCTCTCTAAAATATTATATTTCTAATATCTTGTTTGGCTACTGTACAGAATTGACTTTTTTCCTAGGATTATTTATCTTATCATTTCTGGTATCTATTATTTAGTTTTACAAAACAAAACAAGGAAATACCTAGGCTTAGAAATGTACATACTTTCACTGGAAAAAACAAATACATATATTAATGTACATATAATAGTTCCTTTGTTTGTTAAATCTATTAAAAATAAACAAAGCCCTATAATATTTATTTTGTATTAGAAATATAAATCATTTCCTTTTTGGATCAATGTGAATTCATGGATTTTTGTACATTCCAAGATTTCTAAGTAATTATCATCATAAAAACAAATTATATTTTTAATTAAATTGTTTAAACCTGTTCTTGGAATCCTTACAAATTTACTGCTTTACCTTTAGTACCTTTTATCTGTGATAAAGATTGTGGCTTTACCAAAGTATTTAAAATGTCCTTTTCCTTTGCCTTAACAAGTCTGCATTCTTTCATCTAGGAAGATCTTGAGATTTAATTAATAGCTCTATCACTTTTTCCTTAACTCAAAACAAAGATTAATAGAACTCTTGCTTATTTTCATGTTGTGTTTTTGCAATCTTAACTATATCTGGGACACAGCTTCTCATCCAGCTTAGAGAACTTTTTAAAACAGAGTTTTCTCATGTTTTTGAAATGATTCCTTTTTTGGGGGGAATACAAAATGTGCCAAATCTAGTTTATATTTTTCTGCTCTAAGCAAGATTTATATATCCCCCAGGAGTTCTAAACTTTTTAAGTAAAGACTAGATACTGAGTAGCAAGCCAGCAAGCACACGCTGTTCGAGCGCAGGAAAGGAGCAATGCCTAAATCAGAGGAACTTGTTTCTTCAGGCTCTTCTGGCAGCAATTCTGATAGTGAAGTTGACAAAACCTTAAACAGGAAAGAGCAAATTACTTCAGAAAAAGCTGTAAAGAAGCAAAAGACTGGTGAAACTTCAAGAGCCCTATTATCTTTCAAGCAGAGCAGCAGCAGACTGGGAAAATAAGGTACATCAGCATTCGAGACTTTAGAGGAAAAGTCCTAACTGATATTAGAGAATATTGGATGGATCCCGAAGGTGAAATGAAACCAGGAAGAAAAGTATTTCTTTCTTCTTCTTTTTTAAATATGTTTTTATTGACTTTTTAGAGAGAAAAGAGAAAAATGAGAGCATGTTCATTAATTTTTTTCACTTGTAAACTTGCATTTTAGATTCTTCTTTGGAGTAAAACAGGCTCTTCAACTGTTTACAAAGTAATTTCTGAGTTGTAAAAATTCCATGTTTTTTAAACTGTATTCCTTCATTCAAGCGTGGCTGCCACGATCGGACAGACAGAAAGTGTGAGGAGCCTTTTTTCAGCACTGTTCCAAGTCTGTCAAATAGATGCATAAACTTTTTATTAGATATAATGATTACTCTGTTAAGGTACTGCTATTTTTCTTTGTTTGAATGAATAAAAATAAATTAAATTCCACATGACACACTAACTAGTGATTTCAAGATACTTATGGAAGTTTCTACTGTTTTTGGGTGTTGCTTTCTCAATTTCCTTTTTTCTTTGCTTCATCTCCCAGAGTGAATCTCTAAAGAAGTCTTTAAAAAGACTTCTTTTGAGTTAAGTCTTTTATGTTGGGAGCTTTATAATCTCACCAGAATAGTAAAACTGATGTTTAATCTCAATTATTTCTGGAATATTCTTTTTTTTTTTATCCTCACCCGAGGACATTTTTCCATTTTTTGTTCAGATAGAGTGGGAGGGAGAGACAGGAAGAGAGAGAGAGAAACATCGACGTGAAAGGGACACATCGAGTGGCTGCCACCCGCACAACCAACCAGGGCCGGGTACAAACTGCAACCGAGGTACGCGCCCTTAGCAGGAGCCGAACCCCACGTCTCTCTGGACCGCAGGCTGACACTCTAACCGCTGAGCCAAACTGGCCAGGGCTGGACATATTCTTTTATCCACAGAAATATACCCTGGAAAAAAATAAGGCATCTGTTTCTCCCAAACACTGGACAACAAGAGAATTAACACACAATGGGGCAAGAAGAACCTCAAAATAAACGTAAGTACTTCTCTTTTTTCAATTTTAAAGAGGCAGATAAAATTATGACTAATATTTAAAAACAAAATTGATAATTGTAGTTGTGAATATTAAATATGATGATATGGGGAGGAGAAGGTGGAAGAAAATGAGAATGACTTTGATGAAGAGAAAGGCCATAGATAGATTCGAATACAAGAGGCGACAGAAACTTCTTTGTAAAACATAAATTGGGCCAAAAGGGGAGTTAAAGTATATAATAGAAAAACAAGATAGAAAAAAATAAAGTAATTTGGGAATATTCTTTTAAAGGGGAGAGAGAAGAAAGATAGATAGAGAAAACACATTAACTGAGACTCACAGTGTTCCTGAAGCTCTAATTTTATACTCTTTTATATTTTACTGAAGTGACACAAATGGATTTGTATTATGAGAACATTAAATAATATTTTGAGAAATATATAGAACATATGCAGAAATATATAATTTTTTAATTAATGTTTCACTTTGTATCATCATCACCCCACCATAGCAAACTTCAATAGACCCATGATGAACAATGGTACTGAAAATAACCCTTTTTATGTAACAATATGTCTTGGAGATTTTTTATGAGAATACATAATTATTTTAATTGTCATATAGAATTCTATCATGTGGATTCACCATAATTTAGAATCTCTACTATTGACAATACATATACAAATATTAGGTCTCAGTGTTTTTTCTGTTTTCAAAGTACTCCAATGAATATTCTTTAATATAAATAAATTGTTATTTCTATAGGATAAATCTCTAGAGATGACATTGTTGTGACACTTCGTAAAGTATATGATTGTCTAACCACTATGCTGTACATCTGAAACTAATACAAAATAATATTGAATGTAAACTGTAATTAAAATGAAATTTAAAATAAAACAGAAATTGTTGTGGTAAATGTAATACATTTAAAAATTGATACATGTTGCTAACTTGATCTATCTAAATGGCTAATTTATAGTTCAGCAGCAGCATTTATTTTCTGACCAAGAGTGTTACATTTTTAATTTACTTTTTAATATCTGATGTGTGAAAAAAAAAAAACGTATTTTAGCTTACATTTCTCTGATTGAGCATATTTTTATTTGTTTAATGGTCATTTAAAATTTCAACAAAGTAAATTTTCATCAAATTTCCTGCTCAAATTTTTGGCTGTTTTCAAATTGCTTTTTAAAATTCTTTATGCAGTCTGGATGTTAATATTGTGAGATGATTTTTTTCCCAGGTATTCCTTTTGCTTTAACATTGCTATATAGAAGTTTTAATTTTTATGTAACCAATTTATCAATTTTTGTGATTTTTTTGAGTTTTGTCTCTTTCTTATAAAAAGTCTGTCTGTTGCCCTGGCCGGTTTGGCTCAGCAGTTAGAGCGTCGGCCTGAGTGAGGTCCAGAGAGACCTGGGTTTGGTTCCCACAAAGGGCGCATACCTCGGTTGCAGTTTGTCCCCGGCCCTGGTTGGTTGTGCGGGTGGCAGCCACTCGATGTGTCCCTTTCATGTTGATGTTTCTCTCCCTCTCCCTCCTCCTCCTCTCTCTTCCTCCCACTCTATCTGAACAAAAAATGGAAAAATGTCCTCAGTTGAGGCTAAAAAAAAAAAAAAAAAAAAAGTCTGTCTTATTCAAAAAACTTTACATTTTATTTATTTATTTATTTATTTATTTATTTATTTATTTATTTATATACTCTAAAACTGATTTATTCTGGGAAAATCTTTAAGCTCTCCTATACATCTAAAATGTTTTGGATGATCTCATATTTATCTTGCTCCTTGATAGAATTAGTTTTCTTAGCTCTTGGGGCTGAGAATGGGATAACTTATTTACCTTTCTTTTTGACTTATAGAAGGATGCCAGCATTTCCAGCTAATCCCTGGGATCATTGCTATTGTTTTCATCTCACTTCTCAGTGTCTGCTTTATTGCAAGTTGTTTGGGTAAGTTATTAACAAAAATAGAGTTCTCCTTGAATTATTTTCCCAAACAAATATTACAAAGTTACTCCAAATGCATATGTTATCTTGATTTTCCTCAACATATGAACCTATAATACCTCCAGGGTCTTTGATCTAAAATTCAGAACTACATACTAGTGATGATGATGTCTGTGTCGGGGAATTAAAGATGGAATTTAGACTCTTTTCTATACATGTGAAGGTTGGTTATTGTAGTAAATCATCCTTCATTTTGGACTAGGATTACAAAGGGCTGCCTAAATGAAGAGTAACCAGCAAAAAACAACTTTCAGATAGACTGCAGTCAGACTTTGAAAATAAGAATAGTTGGAAGACCCATTCTTTCTGATATCAAGACTTTGTATAAAGTTATTATAATTAAAGCAATATAATATAGGTGCAAGTATAGGCAAATAGACCAGAGGAAACGAAGAGAGAGCTTAGTTACAGCTTTTGCATATATAAACCAGAAGGGAATAGGAAAAGGATAGTTTTGCTTTAAAAAGGAAATTGGTCTCCTGTCTCATATCATGTACAAAATCCAACCCAAGGTGGATTATTGGCCAAAATATGAAAAGCAAATCAAGCACTTTCTTAGAAGATAAATGGAGAATATCTTTATGACTTTGATCAGGGAATAATTTCTTACACAAGTTACAAAATGTGCTAGTCAATAAAGAAAATATTGACAGTCTGGCTGGTGTGTCTCAGTGGATTGAGCATCATCACATGGACTGAGAGGTCCTGGTTGGATTCCCAGTCAAGGCACAAGCTTGGGTTTCGGGCTTAATTCCCAGTAGGGGGTGTGCAGGAAGCAGCTAATCAATGTTTCTCTCTCATATAGATTTTTCTATCTCTCGCTCTCTTCCTCTCTCTCTAAAAAAATCAATTAAAACATAATTTAAAAAAAGAAAGAAAATATTGACAAATTATACTACATCAAAATAAAAATTATAGTACAGAAAAAAATTACCACTGAGTGAAAACAGAAAGCCATAGGAGATTTTTAATGCATATATTTAATAAAGAATTAGGGTATAGAATATATATATATACATCTCTTTCAAATCAATAAAAATAATACTGACAGACAACAGAAAAACAGGCAAAGTCTTGAATAGGCACTATAGAAAAGAAAAATGAAGTGTCCAATAAACATATAAAAATATTTAAAAGAGTCAACCATTAGTTTTCAGGGAAATGCAAATTAAATTTACAATGAAATGTCATTGCTAACATGACAATATGGCAATAATAAAAAAGTCTGGTACTGCCTTTCGACTGGAACCGCCATCTTCCTAAATGAATAACACAGAAAGGGGAGAAGCACCAGCTATGTGTTCTCTAGGCCTTTTAGAAAACATGGAGTTGTTCTTTTGACCACCTACATGGGAATCTATAAGAGAGGTGACCCTGAAACATTAAAGGAATGGGCACTGTGCAAAAGGAAGTCCCCACAAATGGCAAAACTGGAAGAGTCTACAGTGTCACCTAGCATGCAGTGGGTTTTGTTGTAAACAAATAAGGGCAAGATTCTTGCCAAGAGAATTAATGTATGTGTTGAGCTTATTAAGCACTCTAAGACCCAAGATGTATTCCTGAAACATGTGAAAGAAAATGATCAGAAAAACAAGGAAGCCATAGAGAAAGGTACCTGGGTTCAGTTGAAGCGCCAGCCTGCTCAACCCAGAGAAGCACACTTTGTGAGAACTGATGAAAAGGAGCCTGAGCCGCTGGAACCCATTCCCTGTGAATTAATGGCATACGTGTAAAAAAATAAAAGACCTCTGAACTGTTTTAAAAAATGTTTAGCACTACCAAATATCGATAATGATGTGGGGGTAGTTGGACCTGGACCTGCACGAACTGCTGCTGCAGGAGTGTAAAGTACACCCACTTTGGAAAAGTTTGCTACTATCACAATTGACAATGTGTGTATTCTATTACCTGCATTCCACTCCTAGGCATACACTTTGCAGAAATGCATGCTTACAGCATGGTAAAAAATGCTCTGAGCAGCATAACTCACAATAGGCCAACACCGGAAGCAATGCAAATATTGACCAGAAAAAGAATAGGTAAATACCTGTTTGTGCATGAGGACAATAGATCACTTTACAGCAATGAAAATGGATGCATTATAGTTGCAAGTAACAACATGTAGATAAATTTCAGAAACAATATTGAGCAGAAAACAGAAACAAATGAAAGCATATTGTGTGATTCCACTTATATAAAGTTTGAAAACAGGGAAATCTGATCTATCTGTTTAGAGATATGTTATTAAGGGGTAAACCTGTGAAACAAAGCAAAGAGATATTTTAAAAGCCATGGTATGGTTACCTTTAAGAGAGATGGAGTGGGTTGCATTTGAGATGTGAAGAGCACGTGGGTGTTGAAAATATTGTGTTTCTTGAGCTGTGTAGTTACCTGGTGTGTTCACTTTAAAATCCATTGATACATTGTACATTGATATTTTTCACTCTTTAAATTTGGTTGTGTGTCAAAGTAAAAATATCCATAAGATAAATAAATGTATAAGGCTCATAAAACTCTGTAGAAATATCCTAGTGTTTGCCAAAAATCTCCACACTAACACAAATTATGATAGAAAAATATGCTTAAAAGCACATGCACATAAATGTTTGAAAAACTACCCCCATAAAGCACAAAATGGACAATATGATAATAGAAATATTAATTTCAACAATTTCTTCCAACCAATTCACCTGAAACTGCAACAGAGGAACCACATAGAAAGAAGAAAGAATGTGAGGGCCTTGACTATTAGGATATGAGAAAGGTTAGAGCAGTTGGCTCCCATTTCCCAAATTAAGTGGTTATAAAGGGAAAGGAAACAAACTTTTTTCCTCTCTGGCAGTGACTCATAACAACCTTCTACGCTGTAAGAAAAACATGGGAATGTTCAAGTCACCAGAGCACAGTACGAAGCTGACATGCATCAATGAACAATCAGAAGTGAAAGGTACAGGTGGCTGAGAAGCATAAGAGAACTTCTTTCTCGTTTCCATTTCCATTAAAATTCATAATCTGATTTAAAGTATATCAGTAGTAAACCAGGAGAGATTAAAATAACATAAGGTGAGAATCTGGCACCAGAGTGAACATCAGTAATTGAGATAGAACTATTTCTCATGACTGTCATAAATTGAGTAAGTAGAGAATGTATAATTAAATTCTATTTCTTTTAGTTCAGACATATCATAAAGACTTTATCCCACACTTGTCTTTATCTTTTTTATTATTCTGGAATTTATAAAGTCTCATTTGGAGAACAGGGTAATGCTTGAGAGTTTTAACAGGTTCTTTGCCCCCTTCAGATAAAATGTCCTGTAAAAGGCTTCGTTATGAAAACACTTTAAAAGTGAGTGTAAATAGATGCAGGGATAGTGAAAAATGATCATTCCTTCTAAGACAATATGTTGTAATTTTCTTATAGTCATTACATGATTCCAATACTTTTGTTGAGAAGATATTTAGAAATGTAATTAAGAATATTTAAAAAAGGGGGGACAGAATGATTTTGGTAATCTTGGTATTATCTCCATAAATGATAACTAGATACTAGGTCATAGAATAGTTATGCAATCTGTTACAGATGAATACTCTGTTGTAACTAATTTTCATTTCAATATTCTCATGAGGAAACACCTGGAATTGTTGTCCTGTTGGCTGGAGAGCTTTTCAGTCCAACTGCTATCTTCCTCTTAATGACAAGAAGACATGGGTGGAGAGTGAAAGGAACTGTATAGAGCTGGTGGCTCACCTGGCCACCATCAGCACAGAAGCTGAGCAGGTGTGTTGGCAGACTTCCATGAGTTTCTCTGTTGATTTGAATCTCTTTGCAGAGAAAGAAGACAGTTTATGCTTTGCCATGCCTCTGTGCCTTTACTTCATCTGTTCCATATGCCTGGAAAGACTTTTCTTCCTCTCTTATTTTCTTCATATAACCAACTTCTTCTGATCTTTCCAGATTTCATTTATGCATTATTTCCTCCAGAAAATGACCCTGACCATCTTCTGTACTCCTCCCACCCTATTCTAAGTTGGAGGTATTTCTGTGGTACTTTTTGCACTATGTCATCATAGTGCTTACTTCAGTGTCCTGAAATTGTCTGTTAAATACTCCATCTCTTCCAATGAGTCCTACTTTGTAGAGGGTTGGGGCCATGCCTGATTCATCTTTGCATCTCCAGTGTCCTGCACAGTGCGAGGCACTCTGGCTAGGTCTTAATAACTGTTTGGTGAGTAAGTGAATAAATGAATGATTCCTTGAGACTATATAACTACAGGATAAAGCACAGGAAAAATAACTCAGACAAATGATTATAATTTTGAATAAGAGAATCTTAGTGTAAATATTGAAATTTATTTTCTCACATTATATATTTCCATATATATAACCATATATATATACCATGACTCACATTCTACTCTTTTATTGATCAGTACGGTTCCCTGGAGGATTCTGTTTTCATGCCCTTGCAATCTAAAGTCTGACTCTGAATAAAGTGAGATTTCATAAAATATACAAACAATTAAAGAAGAAAATTTTAAAAACAAAAGTGTCTGATAATCTGATCCTATTAAGCATTTGCTAAATGGTTCAAAAGTAGGTCTCCGGTAATCTTCACAATTACTCTGTGAAGTAGTGGGATTGTCTCTCTTGAAAAAAGAAAACTAGGCTTTGATGAGATTTAAGCACTGACTAACATTGTACAGTAAACAGCAAAAGCAAGATATGAAAACAGATCAATCTGATGCCAACACTTTTGTGCTGTAATCTATTCAACCTCTTTCCTCTTTTCCTAACATAACATCTATCACTCGATAAATGCACATATATTTATAAGTATTAACATTTTTTATACAGAACTTTATTATTCAATTTTTGGATAGACATTTTTTATATTTCCTGGGACTTTCCCGCGAGAATCCTGAAGGCCAGTGGCAATGGGTGGACAGGACGCCATTTAATCCACATATAATGTGAGTATATTGATTGGGGTGAAAGAGTTTTACAGACAAAGGTGGGAAGAAGGCAGCAAACAGAATTCATGTTTGGATGGAGCATACCAATGTACAAGTGCTTCCACAGCACCATGTATGGCATAACCTCTGTACTAATATACTACCAGTATACAGAATTGGACAGTCTAGCTCTAAATTTCTCACTTAGGGACATTTAGGGATGTTTTTTCTGAATTGTCCCCTGACACACATATTTGTGTGTGTGTGCGCACGCATGCATATGTGTGTGTATAACATATGCCTTTTTAAAAAAATTTCAGATTCTGGCATAAGGGTGAACCCAACAACCATCAGACAGAAAATTGTGTTGTCCTTGCTAATGACCAAAACAAATGGACCTGGAAAAATTTTTCTTGTAATTTTGAGGCAAGTAGGATTTGTAAGAAACCTGGAAGAATACTCATCTGAACGCTGTGAAGGGGTTCTTGTGATGAGGACAGAAGAAAAGAACCTATTAGACAAAGGCAGAATGTACATTAATCATTGGAATAGAAAAATCATACTAGATCACAGAAGATTTTCAGTCATGATGGCCTTATTTATTTTGTTCAATTCATTCAACAAATCAATTGTGTTTTTGTGTGGTGTTTTAGTGGTAGAAATCATCTCTTCTATGAAAATCAGTTTTCATTAACTTTGCTTTCTTGATAGTATTTCAAAGGATTCACTTTTCAATTGGTATGTATTTATTACATTTTTAACAGAATGGATTAAATGGTGTAATGTCTTAGTTATGTCTTCCTCTGCCGTGAATCTTAACTCTTAAAATTTAGTGGAGTATTCACATTGTAAGGTATAAAAATCTCAAATCACTATATTGTACACCTGAAATGAATATAACCAATATAAGACTATATACCAACTATACTTAAATTTACAAAAATTTAAATGTAGGATATTCCAACTGGTAGTGGTACACCATTTTTTAACTCAAATATCACAAATCTTTTAAAATTTTAAAACAATATTTTTATTGTTTGATGCTTTATTTTCAGACTTTCTAGTTGTATCAGTCATTAGATTGATATTTCATGAGAAAAATATTTTCTGAACAACAGTATAGAATGTTCTGAATTATGGCATTGTACAGGTAGAAAAATATATCTATTTACCTTTAAAAAATTCACTTCTTAGTCTATCTTAAATATCTTCCTAAAGCAGGGAGTCTTAAGCCAACTTATTTATTTATTATTAATTTTGAGTGGGAAAATCCCTTACAGGGCCACCTTAACCAAACTCCTTTAGCTCTATAGATGAGGAAATGAAAACCTCGGGAACCAGAGAGCTTACCTTTGCATTGCTAGCTCATGAGAGAGCCAGACTTATGGCTTAGATCTAATAGGTGAAATGCATTTTCTTTGTTATTACAGCAAAGTTACTGGGCCTGACTTGGGCTCTTGGCTAACAGATAGATAAAAGCTCCTGATTATTTGAAGTAACATTTCATTGGTGTTCTATTTTTAATTTGAATCATATCTTTTACCCACTTATGCAAATTGTTAGCATGTTTTTTTGGAGCTATAAAGCTATAGTTCAAACTAGCAAGGAAGTCTTTGTTTTAACAACTGAAAGGTATGCTTTTGTGATTTATTTAGTATTAGTGGTGGAGCAGTCACATCCAACACCAACAAAATGTGGTGGTCATTCTTAAAATTCTCAATTTGCTGATGTTTTCTGGATGTAGCTAAAACATTTCAAGCAATAGCTTTTTAACCTAACTTTCTTGTCACTATTTTTAAAAAGAGTATTTTGCAAATTAGTGATTTTCTGAGTTTAGACTCTTAGTGTTTGATTGATTGATTCCATTTATATGTGTATATGTCTGCATTTGAAGCTGATATTTTAACTAGTGCTAAGTGACTTTGTTTACCATATTTACTGACCTACAAAATCTACAAAAACTTGTTGAAATAACTTTATGTAAATGCTAATAGGCTTTGTATAGCTAATATTATTCATTTTTATTTGTATACAATTGTATTTTGGTAGAGATTCATTTGTCAATAAAATATAACCCCTTTGTGATTTTATACGTCTAAGTGTACATCATTTTTCGTTACCTCCATGGCTGCCACAACAGACCAGGTCACCATCTCCTTACCTGGGTTATTGCAATGGCCTACTGATTGGTATCCCTGATTTCACCCTTAGTTCCTTTTATTCTGTTCTCAATACTCATAGCATCTTTCCTATTCATTAAAATGTATTTTAAGACAGCTGATAGTAATTTCATAAAAATAAATGCTAATTAGTTTAGTACACTGTGGCAATAGTTTGAAACACTTAAAGAAATTTAAATACTGTTTTTATCTTTGAAAAAGTAATGTGGGAGATGTTTTATTTTTTATTTTCTTTTTATCCTCACCCGCGGACACTTTCCCATTTTTTGTTCAGGTAGAGTGGGAGGGAGAGAGAGGAACAGAGAGAGAGAGAGAAACATCGATGTGAAAGGAACACATCGAGTGGCTGCCACCCGCACGACCGACCAGGGCCGGGGACAAACTGCAACCGAGGTACGCGCCCTTAGTGGGAACCGAACCTGGGTCTCTCAGGACCGCAAGTTGACGCTCTAACCGCTGAGCCAAACCGGCCAGGGCTGTGGTAGATGTTTTAAAAGGCAAACAGTAAAAACATTAATAAAACTATAAAGTAAACATCTCTTCTACCCTGACCTCCAGTCCCCTTAATGCTTATTCAGAGTAACTGCATGATCAATTTTTATATCTTCATGTATGTTTCTATGTATTAAATAACATATATAGATATATAACCCAAAATTTTTTACACTAATGGAAACATTATGTACATAGTCTTAAACATCTTGCATTTTTTACTTAACAATATAGCTTGGAAACTGTTTTTTCTTTTTTTCTTTTTTACTGTTTTATACCTTGTTCCTTATAAGTAAATAGTGTTTTATTGCATTGATGCATCATAATTTGAAATAATTTTAAGATGACAAAAATTTTCTTATGTAATAAAAACCAACAAAATAATGGTTGTGGAACATACCTGAGAGCAATCCCAGATCAGAGTTCCAAGAGGCTTATTTTCTCCATGAATGCCAATAATAGTTACATGAAAAGCAAAATGTGCTTGAGAGTAAAAGTAATAATGATACAATACATAATTCAGCTGTGAATGATCTTTATATATCATAATTTAGGAATTGAATATTTATTTAACAAAATTAAATTATAATGATATCAGAGGATTGGAAATGTGTATGTGACAGAGAGAGAGAAAGACAGAGAGATTCTTGTTTATATTAATGTGGGGAAATTATCAAATTATATAAAATTAAATCAAGGCATCATAGTATAAACTATTAGAAAAATATATAAATGATACTATTTAGAAACATAAAAGCAGTGGAAGAAGAAACATCTGAAGAGTTGAATGTGCTTGCCTCTTGAGCATGGGAATCACGAGTCTGCAGAAAACAGCATTTTTTAGCTTAGAACCCCTATAGAAGAATTTGGGTATACATGTATGTGCATAATACACAAACTTATTGATGTAACTAATATTAAAATTTCACCATTAACATATTTAAATGTTAATATGTAATATTAAAAGGAGATGGTTAATGATCATCTAATAAAATCAATAAACCATATAGTGTAAACCATTAAACAAATAAGGATGTAAAGAAATCTGGTGTGTATGTTACATTTTTCAACATATCTCAACTAGGACTAGTGCTCAATGTTCAGTGACCACAGTCCTGGATAGCTAAGTATATAGATAATATTATCTACATAGAAAACATAAGGAATCTATAGCTAAAGTGTTTAAAAAAAATAGCAGAATTTAACAATGTTTCTGAATAAATGATCAATATACAAAGATCAACAATATTCTTATATAATACCTGCAAACTATAAAAAATGTATTTTTATATAAAATATTACATTTACAGCAGCAATATAGCTAAAAAAATACCCAAGAATAAATGACTAAATGTGCACGTTTTATGGACAAAACTTGGTTGCAAGACCTGTAAGCCAACCTGCTAGGGCTTGGTCTTGTGACTTTCCTTACCCGACGGTGTGTCCTGTGACTCTTCCAGTTTGTCCTCCTACTTGGGCTTAGACACCTGAGATCTTCAAATTAGCTCAGGATTTACACTTTAGGGCAGTCTGTCATTTCACCAAGATGGTTTCTGGAATCCAATAGGCCCCCCATACTCATACTACCCCTTCTGCCCCCATCCTTCCCCTTACACAGATGCACCCAGCTCAGGTTCTAAATCCCTGTAAAGGTAATTTTGCATCCCTCTCCCCAACCTCACCCCAGTACATACATGTATGCATATGTAAAAGCTACCTTGCTCTGCACCATCTGATGAATGATTTTAAGGCTGTATTGTTAAGAAAGGAAAAGGTAAAAGGGGATTGGGAAAAAGAGAAAACCAAAGAGCAAGAAGAACATTTTACATGATTCTTCATAATGTTTATTTACTTCAGAGGGACCTTCATAAAATAATTTTTGGGTGCTAACTTATAAAGCCTAAAAAATTCTTGAAGTTTCAGAATTCTTCAAATTTAAGTGAAATTGAATTCAATATTTTAAAAGCATCATTTGTTGTGCGATTCCTTTCTGAATGTGTGTGTCTGTGTTTGTGTGTATGTGTACGTGTACGTGTATTTTGTTTTTTTCCTATTACTTTCTTTTCACTTAAAGGAAACACTTCACAGTTTCTCTTGGCATATTTGAACTGCCAGCTTCACTATTCTTGCCCTTTGAGACCATTATTTAGTAAAATAAAAGTTAATAGCAAAATTTTCAGTGATATATAGCTTAGGGCAAGAGAAACAAAGGAGCCTGGCTGGTGTGGCTCAGTGGTTGAACATTGACCCATGCACTAAGAGGTCGCCAGTTAAATTCCTGGTCAGGGAACATGCCAAGGTTGTGGGCCTGATCCCCTGTGGGGGGCATGCAGGAGGCAGCCAGTGGATGTTCTCTCTCATCAATGTCTCTATCTCTCTTCTTCTCCCTTCCTCTTTTTCTAAAATCAATAAAGAAAAATTATTTTTATGAATATAACAGTCTGAGGAATAGGGTAGACCCAGAAAACATGGAAGTAGGGTACAGACTGACAACCCCCAGAAGAGGGGGTGGTGTGGGGAGGGAAGAGATAAACCACAGAACTTTTATGCTTGTATGCATAACCAATGGACATGGACAACAAAGCTAGGGACAGGGCTGGGGGGGTGGGGAGGAGGGTGCCAATGGGGTAAAAAAGGAGAAACATCTGTAACAAAAATAAAATTAAAAAGAAAAAGAAAATTGAAGATTGAAAAAAAAGAGAAAAGTTATTTTTTAAAAAAAGAAAGAGGAAAAAATGAGTAAATGGGACTACATCAAACTAAAAAGCTTCTGCACAGCAAAAGAAACTAGAATCAAAATGAAAAGGGAACCCACTATATGGATGACCATATTTGCCAACAATACATTGGATAAGGGGTTAATTTCCAAAATATATAAAGTACTCATACAAGTCAACAAAAGGAAGACAAACAATCCAATAAAAAAAATGGGTGGAGGACCTGAATAGACACTTCTCCAAACATGACATACAAATGGCTGAGAGACATATGAAAAAATGTTCAACATCACTAATTATCAGAGAGACACAAATTAACACAACTATGAGGTATAACCTAACATCTGCCAGAATGGCTGCCATCAACAAATTATCAAGCAACATGTGCTGGCGAGGATGTGGGGGAAAGGGTACTCTAGCATACTGCTGATGGGAATGCAGACTGGTACAACCACTGTGGAAAACAATATGGTGTTTCCTCAAAAAATTAAAAATGGAACTGCCATTTGACAGTGTTCCCACTTCTTGGAAAGTATCTTAAGAAGCCTGAAACACCAATCAGAAAGAATATATGCACCCCTATGCTCATATGAGTGCTATTTGCAATAGCCAAGATCTGGAAACAGTCTAAGTGCCCATCAATAGATGAGTGGATATAAAAGCTGTGGAACATTTACAGAATGAAATACTATGCAGCTGTAAGAAAGAATGATCTCTGACCCTTTGAGATGACATGGAGGGACCTGGAAAGTATTATGCTATGCAAAATAAGCCAGAGAAAGACAAATACTGCATGATCTCACTTATTTATAGGATATAATGAACAAAATAAGCTAATGATCAAAATAGATACAGAGACATAGAAGTAGGAAACAGACTGACAAACCTCAGAGAGAAAGAGGATGGGGGGTGGTGGTTTGGGAAGACATAAACTAAAAAACTTCCATGCATATGTACATAATCAATGGTTATAGACTATAGTGTGGGGAAGGCAGGAGGGTGAAGGGAGTTAGGTGGAGGGGAGTCAATGATGGGAAAAAACAGGGGACATCCGTAATACTTTCAAGAATAAAGATTAACAAAAGAATAAGTTTCATGACTTGAAGATGTTTCTTACTCCTTGTTCAAAAGAACACATCGAGGATATATGCTTGGGCAGCGTGTAAAAACAATAAGAAATCAAGAAGTAAATACAGACTTTTCCGGAGCTAGAAAGAAGAAGAGTTGACACGGAGCCTGAATTCAGATGATTGTTCAAAGGCATTTTCCAAAATCTCCTTTTGTGTTGAACTTGACATTTGGGGGTTTGTTTGCTTTTATTTAGTTTTCTAAATACGTTTTTATTGATTTGAGAAAGAGAGAGAGAGAGAGAAACATTGATGAGAGAGATACACCAATCAGCTGCCTCCTGCACACCTCTCACTGGGAATTGAGCCCGCAATATGGGCATGTGCCCTGACTGGGAAGCGAACTGTCAACCTCTTGGTACAAGGGACAATGCTCAACCAACTTAGCCTCACTGGCGGGGCTTTTTTCTTTGAGAAAGAGAGGAAGGAAGAGAGAGAGAGAGAGAGAGAGAGAGAGAGAGAGAGAGAGAGAGAGAGAGAGAGAGAAACATTGATGTAAGAGATAAACATCTATTGGTTGTCTATGTACTCCACCAGGAATGCAACCAAGGCATGTGCTCTGATCAGAAATTGAACCCATGACCCTTCAGTGCATGGAATGACACTCAAACCAACTTAGCCACACTGGCTAGGGCTCTGTTCCTGTATTTTCATATAATTTCTCACAAGTGAAGCAAATATATCAAAAGGAGCATGCCTTTCTTCTCACAGCATTTGCTAGAGAATTGCTTGGTAAATTCTGAAAATAAGGCCTAAGAGACAAATATAGAGAAAAGTGCACTTCAGTCAGTATCATGAATTATAACATTCAAAACTAGTTATTTTTATTTACACCAACGCAGCAAACACTGTGAAGTTCTTCTGAAGTGCAATGCGTGCATTTCTCATGTTGCAGTTGTGGCTGTATTCATGCTCTTGTCCCTCCTCGTTTACACATCTAAGTTGTGCCTTTTGCTCTTGAAGACTTTTCTATGTTCAAAACATTTCTTTCAGGCATTTCGCAAATCCGAAACATATTAAGGAAACAGATCATATCATTCCAATTTTGCCTAGGATTTTTAGAGTCTCTTATTGTAGCACAGTCCTCCAGTGTAGCTAGGTTGTTGGGCTCCCCTGCATCCCAGAAGCTGGAAAACAGCAACAAACAACAAACCACATGGGAGATTTTAAATCCCAGCTACAAGAGATAAGGTGACCTAATATACTACGCAACTTACATTTCTGTCATTTAACTTCACAACACTTTTGTAAGGTAGGCGTTATGATCTCCATTTTATTGGCAACGAAAAGGGATCTCAGAAAAGCTAATCCATTTGTCAAAGTCGTAGAGTTTGTGAGTAGTAAAGCTGAACTGGATCTTTCTGCCTTCCTTTCTGTCATGCTCCCTCATAGACTAGACCACAAATGAGACATTGTGGGAATGATTTGTTTTCTTTACACTCATATGTTGCATCACGTTGGGTTCCCTTTATTCTACACAGAGTTTGTATTAACTTAGGTGCACACTTCAATGGTGTTACAGTGTTGTAGTGAAGCAACTTTTAAAAGTATCAGTGCATGTGGGCTATATTCTCAGACCTGATTGAAGTTACCCTGACCTTTAGTTTCCTCAAATGCTAAGTGTAATTAATAATACCAGTATATCTCAGAAAGAGGTAACTTAGGTTAAATGAGATAATGAGTAAGATTAAAACTTTGCAAACCCCAAAATGTTGTGTTCTAATGCTGTAAAGCCATTATTAAGGAGAAAAGAGATGTTATCAAGGGAGTTCCCTTTTTTTACTTCATGAGAATCTGTCTTTCTCAAAGCACTATTTTTGTCTCATTTATTACAGTTTGGGGCATAAGACACTTTGTCCCTGCTGCATTTCCAAATTATTTGTATTCAATTCTACTCCTCTTTTCATGTTCATCTATTCCCCTTTATATTTGAGATAGTCTTAGGAAATGAGAGCAATAGGATGGTTCTGAATATATCTCATTAGAACAGAAGGAGGTTCTGAGAACTCCCCTCAACAATGGGTTAACTCTAGTATTTGGGATAGTGTTAAATTCTGCAAGAAGGAAATTACCTCAGAGACTTCATGAAAGGTGTGCCATCTACCCATTTCCATTGACCATCAGTCTCCTGGTCTGTCAGTCCAATATAAAACTCTCTATTTTTAGGTTTTGCATGGAAAAGAAATTCCTATGGAAGATACACAGTCAAAAACTAGGAGATCAATTATTTCAATTCTAAGCAAATGTTGAAGATAATTGTTATTTAAAGAGATAAAGTAGAATCTGGACTAAAGATGGTAGATACATTACCCTGTAATATTAACATGATGGGGAATTATCTTCTGATCTTTTAAATTTGGGTGAAAATATACACAACATTAAATTAAATGAACAGAAAACTTCAACAAAGGATTTCCTCAATAATTCATTCAAAGTTTATCTACTGTTATTTGTAACAAAATCTACTGTATAGATTAACACAAAGCATTATTAATCATAACTTAAAGGTAATGGACACTATTTGCCTTCTTTCTTTCAAACAAGTTTATAAACATAATGGTCATTCTAAAATGGACCCTCCCACACCACTTTTCTCTGTCTTACTAAGAAACTAAACATGGACTTTTAATTTAGCTCTTCTAGAAATGAAAATAAGTTAGAGTAGGCATTGACTTACAGAAATAGTAAGAATAACCTGCATTTTAGTATATTCATTTAAAAATATTAATTGTGGTCCAAACACTGTACACATGTATGGAAAACGGGAAGGATCATGTGGAGAATGTTACACTGACTCTCAGGGAGGCTGTACTTCAATTACCTGTTCCTCCTGTGTGTTGATAACTACCAGATGAGCGTTCATGCTTGAGCAGTTTTTTACACTTGCTGACCAGGTCATGGTGTTAGTAGAAAAAAAATAGCAGCTAGATTGAAAATGTACCCAGTTCAATGGACAGCAACCTACGAGGAGAGTTTTCCATGAATGTCACATATGAAATAAGTAAGAAAACCGAAAGTTTCATCTGGCCCCAAAGTCTATCATTTATTGTCAGAAGCCTTGGGACTCCTTGTTCACACACTCCCCACCCCACCTTACTATCTAAGACTTTAAATAATTCCTGTTAGTAAACACAAACAATATTCTTATCTTTTGAGACATAATCCTTATTTTCTAGATATACTATATATACTATCAATCTGTTATGCTATTGATATAGGTGCGAAGAAATTATCTATTCTTACACTGCCAAATTCAGAGAAAGTTATGCATTTTATCTGAGTGAACTCTAAGTAACCATCTCTCATGTTGCCCAAAGTATGTATGCTCAACAAAATCTCCAAACTGGTTGTACAGATGAGCTAAATCTCATAGAATTATAGAATAGAAGACTTTACACTTTATTAAAAATAAATAGTCCAGTCTCTCTCAATTTAATGGTGAAGAAATTATAGCCCATATTGCCCTTTTCTAAGACTTGGAATAGAACTATATATAGGAGCATAAAAAGTACATTTCTGAGGTATTTCCAAATTCCCTGTTCTATACATCTTTTCCTGTACTTCATTTTGGAAGCAGGTGATGGATAGTAATAATAAAAAAGTGAACTCCTGGAGATAACACTGTCCACTTCTAGATTTACTGTTCAGATATATGCTTCAAATGTATACTAAAAGTCTGCTATAATGTCTCCAAGATTTCCTGCCCCGTTGCTAATTGCATTCCCTGTCTTCTTAACCAGCTTCTCACCCTTCTATTACAGTACAGGCAAGATTTTACATTTTGTTTGTGAAAAACAGGACCTACTCCAGCTATTTTATTTATCCCAAAATTAATCTAGATTCAAAAAGTGTATATTTATATGTAAACATTGATGTTCACATTTGAGGAATATTCTACCTGATCCATTATTGTAGCAAGAGAATTCCATGAACTCTTCATACGAATGGAAGTTTTTCTCACCACAGAGTTGAAAGATGTGATAAGTCACTGTAAGGACAGGGACACAGTTAATGTTGATTACTCTTTTGATAAAATAAATTTATCATTTTTGTATTTATAGTAAAAGTGCCAACAGTTATTATATGTTCTTACTATCTACTTTTCCTTCTGTATGAAGAGGCATTGAGATTTACTTAAAGAAAAAATAGTGAATTTAAATTTTATGGTTTTCCCAATTTATAAAAGTAAATATACTTTATTTCAGGGCCAAACGCCCAGAGAAAACAAATCTATTACATTCTCTCTTATGCCATGTCTAACCCTCTCTACCCATCTTTCCAAAAAGTGATTTGTTATGTCTATGGATAGGATTTCATAGAAAAGGCTACACTAATGAATAACAGGAGTACAAAAGGGAGGACTCAGGGCCACCAAGCAGATGAAAAATGTCTATCATTAAAAATACATTAGAGGTCACTGAAATTTGGTAACAGTGCTATACTAGTTGGTGTTTCTGGTTTGGGGAATAACCTGGAAATAGAGGGAAAAGTGGAATATAAATACTCTTAATGGGGAAGAGAACTTACAGGCAGCAAGAAAGAATTTACTTCTAATATTCACTATGGAGATTAAGTTTAACCTTCAGAACTTACAAACACATCTAGTGATAAAACAGGCACTGAGTAGGAGGATGGAGATCCCAGCAACAGTCCATAAGAACACTTGGGAAGAGAAGCATCCTTTCTCTGTAGAAAGACACAAGTATGGTCAATCTTCTCTGAGCAAGAGGCATGATAAACTCTTATTAAACCTTACATATTTCCTTCCACTTGCATTGTCTATATTGAGTAATTCTCAAACTTCACTATATATCAAAATTATTTGGAGGGTTAAAACACAGATTAACCCTAGAGTTAAGAATTCAGTTAGGGCTGTATGGAACCTACCAGTCCCCAGGAGCTGCTAATACTGCTTGTTCTGGGGACCACACTTTAGAACCACTAGAGTAATCCATTACTAATTTTAAGACTGACTCATGAAGTTGAACAGATGTGCAATGTTCCCCCTTTATTCCCTATCTTCTTCCCTCTGACCCTCTCTGTTTCTGTCTCTCTCATGCTCTCCTCTTTTTAGAGCCTTATTTTTCAAGCCCTTAGTAAATCAGTCATATAAAACATTGAATTTATCTAGTAGTTCATCTCCCCCTTCCTTCCCAATACACATCTTATTGAGTTCCAGAGAAGTGAAGTGTCTTGCCCAATGGGACACAGTGAATCACAGAGAGGGTAGAAATAGCAGTCTGGTAGTTCTCCCTGAACTCAAGTCCAGTGACCTTCCCAGTATAGCATATACTCTTCGAACCATTCTTTTATGTTCCTCTGTTTTATTCTCTCTCCTCTCGTCTTTTACTCTACTGTATGCTTTTCTGTAGTCCTGTCCTTCAACACATTTATCACCTCTTCCAAAAAAAAAAAAAAATCTATCGAAGAAAAAAGAGAATTGCAAATTTTACCTGTGCTCTGTGATGCAGAAGATTTGGGTGAATTCATTTTTTTCTTTCTTTTTCTCTCTCCCTCTTCCTCTCTCTTCTCAGTTTCTGAGTGCAAGAGTATTTTGTTGGTAAGTTTCAAGGAAAAGGAGTCTTGGAGAATGAACACTTTATTTGCGTTTTAGGAAGTTCAACCTCAAGACAAGAACGTTGACTTGTGTGTTCAAGTCAGGATTTCCTTTCTTGTGTAAGGAGGACCAGGGAGTTTACTGGGCAATAGTCAATCTCCTCACTCTAGGCAACAACAAAATAAAGAAAGAGGAAATGGTAAGTACAAAAGCAGGCTGATCATGGGGAAATACAAGTGACTTCAAAAATATTATTTTGTTTGGTGGATAAAATTTGTCTGCTTTCTTTCAGGCCTTCCTTACTCATCCCTCAATGTTCCCTAATGCTCATGGGGCCCACCTCTGCACTCCCAGTCTTACTTTTGGTCTTTATTACCACACAATTGTTAACTGAAAAGGAGACAAACTCCAAATCTTCATAGCACTTTGCACAGAGCTGAGTACACAGTGTAAATATTTATAATGTAGCAATGTGAGTTTCTTTTAATCTTTTATGTTTTTTCTTCATCCTTCATTTGCACCTCTTGAACAGCTTCAACAAGGGGTTAATATGCAAAATATGTAAAGAACTCATAAAACTCAACACCAAACAAACAATTCAATTAAAAAATGGACAGAGGATCTGAACAGATACTTCTCCCAATAAGACATACAAATGACTGACAAGTATATGAAAAGATGTTCAACTTCACTAGCTATTAGGGGAAAGCAAATGAAAACTACAATGAGATACCACCTCACACCTGTCAGAATGGCTATTGTCAACAAGACAAGTAATAACAAGCATTGGAGATGTTGTGAAGAAAAACAAAAACTTATTCACTGCTGGTGAGAATGTAAACTGGTACAGCCACTGTGGAAAACAGTATGGAGGTTCCTCAGGAAGTTGAGAATAGAGTTACCATGTGAGGCAGCAACTCTTTCTCTGCATATCAACCAGCCAAAATGGAAACATTTATTCTCAAAGGTATATGCACCCCTGTGTTCACTGAAGCATTATTCACAGTGGTCAAAACATGGAAACAATTGAAGGATCCCTCAGTAGATGACTGGGAAAAAAGATGTGGTACATATACACTGGAATACTACTCAGCCATAGAAAAAGGTAAAATACTGCCATTTGTGACAACATGGATAGATCTTGAGAATATCATGCTAAGCGAAATAAGCAGACAGAAAAAAATCAAGAACCATATGATTTCACTCCTATGTGAAATATAATACTGAAAGCAACAGATGAAAAAAAAATAAGAAAAACCAAACAAAGTAAAACTCATAGACACAGATAACAGTGTGGTATACCAGAGGGAAAGGGGGATTAGTACAGAGTAAAGGGGGTCAAATATATGGTGATGGAATATTTGACTTTGGGTGTTAAATACACAATTTAATATATAGATGATGTATCATGGAATTGTACATTTGAAATTTATATAATTTTAGTAACCAATGTCACCCCAATAAATTTAATTGAAAATAAATAAAATGGACAATTTAGATTTGTGTACTTATATTTCTTTTACCAGAGTGCTGGCTACTAGGCTATTTTACAGCTCCATCTCAGTTGAACAATTATTTGAGGATTTTTGTTTTATAGTATAGTCTATATAAGGAGAAATGAATTTGAATGTCAGAAGCAACTTCAGCTAGATATTAGAATATGCTTTTCTGGAAGGTTAGTAGATATTATAATGTTTCATCTCCTTTCTTAAAAATACTTAAGAATAAGATCAAACTGTACTCGCTTGATTTAAATTCACAAGTGTTAGGAGGCATATATATCTTGGTAATCCCCAAACCATGTTAGGAAATACCCTTGTTTCAAAGGGACTTTTATTGTTTCAACACATTGGTCAATTTCCTGTGCATTCTCCATTCTACAGTTATATAGATTTATTTTAAAATGTCTAAAAATTGCCCTGGCCAGTTTGGCTCAGCGGTTAGAGCGTCGACCTGCGGTCCGGAGAGACCCGGGTTCGGTTCCCGCTAAGGGCACGTACTTTGGTTGCAGTTTGTCCCCGGCCCTGGTTGGTCGTGCGGGTGGCAGCCACTCGATGTGTCCCTTCATGTCGATGTTTCTCTCTCTCTCTCCTTTCCTCTCTCTCCCTCCCACTCTATCTGTACAAAAAAATGGAAAAATATCCTCTGGTGAGGATTAAAAAAAATAATAATAATAAAATAAAATAAAATGTCTAAAAATTATACACATAAATTATAAAATATAAACATATTTAATATGTATATTATCAGCAAATGGCATTTGACCAGTAAAAGGAGAGAAATTCTCTAGTGAATGTTATATGAATTATGAAATGATGAATCATAATGACTACAGTCATTTATTTATTATGATCAACCAGCAATAATCAATATTAATAAACAATTATATAAATTTTAAAAATATACAATTAACTAGATAATAATAATAATGAATAAACAGATAATATTTTACCAGCCAAAATATGTATATAATTTTATCCTTCATATTATCACTTTTTACCAAATTATAAAAGTGATATTTTTATGGTTAATTATAGGAGCATATGATCAGTAAAAAACTTCCCATCTATCCTTAGGGCACTCTTCTAAAGTCAACCACACTTAGTGAGTTTTATATATATTTTTAGATATTTTCTAAGCTTATATCAAATGCAATTTGTATAATATATTGTTTATCCACTTTTATACTGATAGGATCATACCATACATACTTTTACATCTTGAAAATTACCTTTACATTAATCAATGCATTTGGACATCTATCTTCTTAATACCATTATTTAAAATTTTCCATAATTTATAGATCACACACTTCTGAAGGACATTTAAATCATTTCTAGCTTTTTTCCCCCTTTAACAAATGAGGCAATGACTACCTTTATACATATTTGCAAGTGCACATTTTTTGGCTCAATGATACATGGCCAAATGTTAAAATCAATATTTGGTTTGAGGCTTCATCACAGAATAACATTCTGGGATATAAAAATTAATTTAAGATTTTGTCTGAAGGTAATTTTTATTATAATTTCAATAATATATAGCTTTATATTTCATAGCACTTAATAGCATTTCAATCTATAAATCATGTAAAGAAATTATTTGATCCAATTTATATGGCAAATGCTTTGTTGTATTTAAACCAATATACACATATTAAAAATAAATTCAAATGAATGCTAAGGTTGTATTACTGACATTGATTAATTAAGATGATCATCTGTGTGATTATATGAACAAATATCACACACAAGTCCAGGAATTCTGGAAATGACCTACAGGTAGACATTCAGCTATTGGGCCCTCCACAGCCACAGGCTGGAGCCTCTGTGAAAATGTAGATTATGGTTGATCAGGTAGCCTAGAGTCACAGGCGAATTTTCTGTGTGTACCTGCTTGATTACAGTCACAGGATAAATGGCTAACAGTGGAATTGCCTCATTAAAAGATACATATGTTTAAAATTTATAATAGATAATAATATATTGCCATCTAAGACTTTTTTACCAACTTATATGCTTACCTAAAAGCTTATAACATGAGGGTTTCCCTAAACCCTTACCCTGGGCATTATCAAACTTTAAAATATACAATCTGAGAGGCAGAATATAGTTCCTCAACCTGTTTTTTCATTTCATTAATTATAAATGAAGTTAATCTTTTAGTTTAATTTGTCTTTATTTTCATAGAAACTATCATATCTTTCAATCATTTTGGGGAGGGTATGTTTTATCTATTTCTTACTAATTTGTAAAAGTACTTAGCATACTTCAAAATAATCCATATATTATTCAAATATGTGGGACATATTTTCCCTAGTTTGTTGTGTTTTGGCTTTATTTGCTTAATCATGGTATAGAAGTTTTTATATATTCATGTAGGAAATTTATTAAGACCTCCCTTATGACTTCTCTCTGTCATGCTGTGCTTGGAAAGGATATCTGCTCTTCAAGATGATTAATTATTCATCAATATTATAAAATAATACTGAAATTTATTTTATGTAAGGAGTGACATAGGAATACAATTTTATTGTTTTATAAGTGGTTATTTATTTCTACACATATAATTGAAATACACAAGAGTTTTTACCCCAAATTTCCATATATATATAATTTTTTTTTTTATCCTCACCTGAGGACGTTTTTCTATTTTTTGTTTAGATAGAGTGGGAGGGAGAGAGAGGAAGAGAGAGAGAGAAACACCGATGTGAAAAGGACACATCAAGTGACTTCCCAACCACACAACCCAAGCAGGACTGGGGACAAACTGCAACAGAGGTACGTGTCCTTAGCAGGAACCGAAACTGGTCTCTCTGAACCGCAGGCTGATGTTCTAACCGCTAAGCCAAACCGGCCAGGGCTCCCTTTTATATATTTACATTATTACTGAACTATATTAAAAAATTATGTTATTACTGCAGTGTCTTAATATGTTTAAATATTTCATAAGACATATACCCCTTTATTGTTTTTAATTTCCACATTTTCTCTGCTATCAAGGATTATCAGAAAAATTTAATATTTAATGTCATTTCAAAATAGAATACATGTATCAAATTATTACACTTCAAATTTTAAACTTACATAATGTTATATGTCATTTACATCTTAACAAAGCTGCAAAAAAGAGGAATGAAGTAAGATTAAGTATTCAAGATATGAGTGAAATGTTATTTCTTGTGGAAATGGAAGTGATGAAAAAAATGTTCATAAGAGGAAATAGTATGTTCACAGATCATAATGAGTCTCAAACCTAAATGTATCCAGGTTTTCAAATTACTGAAGGAGCAAACATCCTCTAAGAACTCAGGAAAAATGTTTATCTATTCTGAACTATTATCAGGTTGACCTCCAACTTCTTCCCAAGTTCTAAATCAAAGAGATCAATAAAACAATTTTAAGGTACAATTGAGGAAAATGTTGTGATTCAATAAATTTATTATTTTCATGGACTAAAGCTAAAAAAAAAATGATGTACAAAGGTGTAAAGATATGATTACTGCATTGCCTATTTGAACAAAATGATTTAAAGCCAAATTCTGAATAAATTTTATATCTAAATATTTAAGAACATTAATTTTCAATTTAAAAACAATAGAGTTGATTAGAAAAGACATAACTTATAAACCTGATTACTTGAACAAGTTTCAC